TTTTTTTTTTTGTCTATATCTTTCATTTATAACGATCTACTTGTTTAAGTCGTCTCATCGTAATTTGGTATTTTTTTAATTGGTTTTTTCATTTTTCCTTTTTTCGATTGAATATAAACGTTCACTTCCATCGAAAAAACTTCATGTGACTTTCGTTTTTAAGAATATGAGAGATAAAAGAGATATACGAGTGATATTATATGTTTTTTTTTTTTTTTTTTCTATGTGTGAGAGAGTTTTTGTATGATAGTTATATAGATAAGTTGGAAAAATCACATCGGCAGGTGATAAAAGACGATTTTCGGAGATTTCCAAGCAACGCTATCTTTTAATATTCTTTACATGTTTACTTCGAAGAGTTAGGAGTTAGGAGTTTTTGAGAGATAGAATATGTTTGAACGTTGAGTATATAGTTAGTTACATTTGTGTAGGTTTTTATAGATAGATACGCGACGGCGTGTAGTAGTGTATCGTTTTTCTCGATTGGATGTTGTTAAGAAGGAAACGAGTAATAGGATTTGAATTTTTGCTTTTTTTTTTTATAATGACATTTTTATTCAAATTATTTTTCAAATACATATTTAAATACGTATTATAAATCGATATATAAAGTTTTTTTTTTTTTTTTTTTATTAAATTGAAAAATTGTGTATGTGTTTATATATATTATCTAAATTATAGTTTGATTTGTATTTTAGTATAATTATACCGTAAATCATAAATATGTTGTTGATAATTATGATAGTTGTCTGAGTCAAAAAATTATACAATTTTATTGGATAATTTATATTTGATAAATATAAAATAACAAAAAATAAAAATAATATATATTTAGATAAAGATATATATAAAATAAAATAAATATCAAATATAATAAAATATATAATAAATATATATTTGATAATTTATATTTGATAATATAAAATAATAAAATAAAAATAATATATAAATATATAAAATAAAATAAATAATAAATACAATAAAATATATAATAGATATAACAATAAAATATATAACAAATATAATAATAAATATGCAATAAATATAATAATAAATATAATAATAAAATATATAATAAATATAATAATAAATATAATAATAAATATAATAAAAAATAAAATAAATAATTTTCATATTAAATAAATCATAAAATTCATGCTTACATTCAGTTTACTGCCATAATACACCGACACAAATATAAATTATATTTAAATATAAAATAACTAACGTAACTTTTAAATTATACAATGATATATTTATCGTGAATATAATTTTCTGTTCCATTCACGTGGTTATTTATTTACAAGTTTGAAATCGTGTATATAAACAAACATTTGTTATACGTTTAAATACGTTCAAATTCTTATTTTAATTATTTTGTTTAGTTCGGAATAAAGTTATCGTGTTCTCTTACTGACTATTTCTTTTTATATCGTTGAACGATTATTAATCAGCTTGCGTATTAGTTAGTTACTTCCAAGAAGGTAGTGTGCGTGTCCCGGTTAACTATCGATTCCGATATTGTTCGTTTAAACAGGACGAGGACAGGAAGACGCTTGATAAGAATCGTTAATTCGGTAAGGCCGTTCGTTCGTACCTTTTTTCATTTCTTGCTTCGTTCTTTTCTTTGCGATACATCGTTTTGCTAACGCAATCGATTTCCATTCGATTTGATTTGATTTGATTTGATTCGATTCTAACACATCAATAGATAACTTTTACTTCTCATTGATGAAGATAATTTATGAAAATTAATTTCTTTTTTTTAATACAATGCATTACATATTTTTGTTGTTGTTGTTGTTGTTGTATGCAGTTTGTTCTACTTGCATACAAATATTCGTGAGAGTAATTTTGTTCGTATTCACATTTTTATGCATTGTATAATTAAAAAAAAAAAAAAAAAAAAAAACAAAAGAAAACCCTATGTATTTTTAATTTATGTGATAGATATATATGAGCACAACATGTGTAGAAAGAATTTTATTAATAAATAATAGCTATAAAGAAACATTTAAAAAAAAATAAATTACAAATTTATCGGTCTCTGGTGTATAATCAAACGAAAAAAAAAACTTCTTCACGTTTGATTATATAAAGTTTTAATTTAAATTTTCTTTTTGATATTGCATATTGGAATGTTTATTTGTCATATATGCCCTCAAAAATAATTGTATATACCATAGTAGCACAAAATATTGAAAATTATTCAATACATGTGTATTTAATATTAAATAGATATTAAATCTCATTTTAATATTAAATATTTAAATATATTAATTTAATTTAATTATTAAATACAACATGTGTATTTAATATTTTTCAATATTTTGGGTTACTAGGGTATGCAATACACAGTCTCCTTATTTTATACAATTATAAAAAAAAATTACAAATTATTATCTCTCTCTCTCTCTCTTTCTTTTACAATTAATATTATCCAAATAAAATATAATATTTTCATTTCAGTGTATTTAATATTTTAATTTAATTTAATTATTAAATACGACATGTGTATTCAATATTTTTCAATATTTTGTGCTACTAGGATATACAATACACAGTCTCCTTATTTTATACAATTATAAAAAAAAATTACAAATTATTATCTCTCTCTCTCTCTCTCTCTCTTTCTTTTACAATTAATATTATCCAAATAAAATATAATATTTTCATTTCCAATTAGAAAACAAAGACAGAGTTGTAAACTAGTTTTCGATTAACAATTTGAATCTAATAGAATACTTAGGATGAATCTCTTTCTTTTTCTCACTCACATACACACACACACACACACACTCACACACACTGTCACTTTGATTGTACATCATACTGGTTCTTTTAATACTGCATCCTGCGTCAAGTGCAGCGAAGAGAGCGGACGAAGGAGCACAGAGTTCTTCTTCCTCTTCTCTCTTTCTGTTGCATCGGCACCGGCATCATCGGCATCAGCAACGGCAACGGCAACGGCAACGGCAACGCAGCAGGAAAAGATGGCTCGTTTCCTCGCATTGTTTTTAACCGTGGTGTATATAAGCGGGCTGCTACGCGCAGGGACATGGGAGCGGATGCGGAGTGCAGACACGCGAACGTTACCCGCTTTACCAACTCTATATGTGTACACATATACATCCATATATTTCTATATATACACACACATACACACACTCATATATGTGTGTATATATATGTATGTGCAGCACGACACCGGCATCATCGGCCTTTACAAGTCGCGCGAGCGCGCGCGTTTTCATGATTCAACGAAAGGTTCCTTTTCGAAGGAGAAGGTGAAAAGACGAATGAAAAAAAAAAGAAAAGAGAGAGAGAGAGAGAAAGAGAAAGGAAAGACATAATTAATATTTTGATTAGGATTGTCCTTAAAGTTCGTGTCGATTTTAACTCTTTGGGGTACAGTGGGATTAGAAGTGTCCCACCACCTTTTTGATACACCGTAATGCACGATGGGACATTTTTAGTCCCACTTCGAAATATTATTCGAACGATTAAGAATTTTTCTTTCTTACAAATTAATATTGCATTTTTATTATTAACAATTTTGACTAAACTAATTTTTTCTTTTTTTTTTGTTTTTTGTTTTTTGTTTTTTCTTTAATTATATTCCATTTCTTTCATTCTTTCTTTCTTTCTTTCTAATTTTGTTCTTCGTTATCAAGCTTGTTTAAATAAATAAATTACGATCGCGAAATCAAATTGGACGTCACTACCGGTAAGACAGGATGCCACAGAGAGATAGATATAAAAGAGAAAGAGAAAGAGAAAGAAAAAGGAGGGGGGCAGGAGGGAAATAGAAAGAGATAGTAGGAGAGAGGTAGAGAAGGAGCCAAGTTTAGCAAACTCGAGTTTAATAAATTAGCATTTCCTTCTTCGGGAAACGTTCCGTTGTTACGATGAGAGGCTATAGAGGATCTGTGTGCCCTACCGGCTGATTTTAAATGCCGGAAGTCGACTCTCTTCTCTCTTTCTCTCTCTCTCTCTCTCTCTCTCTTTCTCTCTTTCTCTATCTCTCTCTTTCTCCCTCTCTCGACTTCCTGCCGTTTATACCAACATTTCTTTCCTTGGTAACATCTGCCGTCCGTCGTTGCTCCAATGATCGTCCCTCCTCCTCCTCCACCTCCTCCTCCTCCTCTTATTCTCCCCCTCCCCCTTTATCTTCCTCCTCTTCCTCTTACCTCTCCTTTCCACTACTATTCGATCTTTTCTTCTTCTTCTTCTTCTTTTTCTTCTTCTTTTCGAAGCTTCGCGGAGATATAGCAGCCTCGTTCAAATCATTCAGAAATTCGAATTTTTGTTGTTTTTTTTTTTTCCTTTCCTTTTTCTCATTTCCTTTTTTCTCTTTCATCTAACCAGTCAAATTTGGATACCTCTTTCTAATGGGGCCCACGCATAGTCTTCGTTGAACTCGGTCAATGATCCTTGTTGAAACTCTCTCTCATTCTCTCTCTCTCTCTCTCCATGTCTCCTTTATCTTCAGGTATGCTGCAGAGAGCCCAGGGTTTAAGTTAGATCGTTCGTTCGTTCGTTCGAAGAAATGCACCGGAAGTCCTAAAAAGCAACGTTATCTCGTTAATGCCTACACAAAATGGATCGTACCAACTTTTTTTTTTTTTTTCGTCGTCGTCTATATTTCTTGATATTTTTCTTTTTTCTTTCATTTTATGTTTTGATAATCGACTGATTATAATCGATATGATTGAACAACAACCATAGACGGTTGTTGTTGTGTAAATGGAAATGTCTCTGCATTAATATTGTAGGAAAAAACGAAAGGTTGATGTTGTCTCTCTCTCTCTCTCTCTCTCTCTCTCTAACTCATCCGGTACCAGCGCATGCGCATTTTTTATTTTTTTTATCGTAGAAGCTCGTTAGATGTTCGATTGTTCGCAAGTTAGAGAGAGAGAGAGAGAGAGAGAGACAACATCAACCTCCTATCTTCTATCTCTTTTTATTTCGCCGACAGGTTTTATGCTGGCTTGTTTGCTCTATGTAAGAGATACGTCTGTTAATCGATTCATTCTTTTATCTCTCATTTTTTTTTTTTTTCTATAAACATTTGATATAAATACGTATAAACGTTGTCCAAGAAAAAAAAAAAAAAAAAGAAAAATATAAATGATAAGGGGAAAAAGTTCGAATATCTTCTAAATTTCGGAATTTCTGAATTTTCTCTGATACTAGGAATTCAGTTGAATTACAAGTATAGGTTTGTGTATATATATATATATATATATATATATACATAGGTATGTTGACGACGATATACGGATGTGTATTTACGCACGTATATACGTGCGTAAGATAGGCAGGGATGATTAAATGGCGCCTTGGTTGACGCCGCCGAATAGCTTGTTTGTAGGTCCCCATCGGTGCGTTTATTTCTACGCATTGCGTCTCGTCGCACCGCCCAGCCGAATCCGGACGGCATGCCGCGGTATGCGTCACAAGTTATTTTTACGTCACATAGTCTGTCTCTTCGTATTCTCTCTCTCTCACTCTCTCTCACTCTCTTTTATACGTTTGTATGCACGTGTCTATCTACACGATCGTATATTCGCGTGTGGGTGTCTACACGTGAAGAAATATGTATACGGAAGATTTGATATATATATATATATATATATATATATACATACATACACACACACACATATTTATATATAAAAATGTGTAAACGTATACACGTGTGTATGCGTGAATGTAGATCTCTCTATCTTACTTATTTTGTTAAAACGATAAATCGTTCATTCAAAATCTAAATTTTAATCTCTCCATTTGTTTGTTTGTTTTTTCATAGTATTCTGGTATTCGTATTGGACCGGTTGTGAAGAAGGATGTGATGAAGGCCTCGATTATGCTCGAACACGACAGCCAGTGAGTATCCTTTAATTTGTGCTAATTATTTATTTCTTGATTCCTTCCCTTCGAAGGAAGTACGCGCGGGTTTACTCCAAATATCTTCGTTCATTCGTTCGTTCAATCATTCATTCATTCGTTCATTTATTCATTCATTCTTATAAGTCAGCACATATTTTTGTTCATTTATCGCACAGATACGCCACAATTCTCGCATTTGATGTAAAGATAGAGAGGGACGCTCAAGAACTTGCCGAATCGTTGGGGGTTAATATCTTCCAAGCCGACATCATCTACCACCTGTTCGACCAGTTCACCTCCTACAGGAAAGATCTGAAACAACGCAAGCGAGATGAGCACAAACACATCGCTGTATTTCCTTGTAAATTACGTGTCCTACCACAGGTACTCTTACATATGCATATATACATATATACTTTTGCATTAGAAGTAAAATAATATGAAATTGAACTAACAAACAAAAAATTAACAATTTTTCCACACAAATGATTACCAATCATATGCGTTCTATTTGAACAAAATTCACAATGGTCTTATGTTAACACGTTTATTATTAACAGTTTCACATATCTGCGTCAGGGGGGTTGCGTTTATTGGAGAGGCCAGTGTCATGTATTTGTGATGATATTTAACGCGAAAATATAACTTTAGGGTTGTTGCGAACGATGGCAAATGTATTAGTAAAGGTGTTGCAAGTTTACCTGTATAAACGCGCATATGATTTCTAATTAATATTCTTACGTAAATCGTGAATTTGAATAGAACGTACATGACCTGTATTTTTCCTATTACTAATTTCATATTATTATTAATTAGAATTTTGGATTTTATTACAGTATATCTTCAATTCAAGAGATCCCATAGTGATGGGTGTTATGGTTGAAGCTGGCATCGTCAAGGAAGGAACACCACTCTGTGTCCCAAGTAAAGATGTGAGTAATTCAATTCTATTTTTTTTTTGTAATTTTGTCTTGTTTCTTTCTTATTAATTTTAACCCTTAAAGTGCACATGGGGCGTTTGACAATTCAACAAATTTTTGATCTCTCGAAAACGGTAGGGAATTCGAAAAAATGGATTATATGTCGTCTAGTGCCATCTAGATGGGTATTAAAACCTATTCTATTTTTAAAAAAGATGTATCAAACTACTTTGAAAAAAATTATTGCGAGGTCTACTAAATAATTAAATGGCGGCTTCAGGAGACTTGGGGTGTCAAACATCCACACTGCACTTTAAGGGTTAAGATACAATGCGAGTCTTGTTGTGCGTACTTAAACAAGAAAAAAAACTATTCCCATTATGTATTGAAATGATTTTTCTACTTATTCTCAATAATTACGACACACAAATATGACGTAAAAAAGAAAAGAAAAAAGAAAAAAAGGAGAGGTGTCAAAGAGTCAAGATGGATTCAACATATGTAGAATCTTTTTCGCGAGATTTGTGTGGGCGTTGTTCAAAGTATCATCCACTGTGTTTACTAGCCAACACGGGCCAAGTAGGAATGGAATTATTTTTATCGCATTTAAGCTCTTCCATTCTTCTTTTTCTTTGACGCATTGTCGAGTGGTGTAAATCTTTGCGATTGCGACGAAGAAAATCAAATGTCGAATAAAGGTGTACCATCAAAATGGTGGAAGAGGAGAAGAGAAGAGAGGTGTATGTGTGTGAGAGAGAGAGAGAGAGAGAGAGAGAGAGAGAAAGAAAGAGATAAAGAGAAGGTAAAAAGAAGGTGTTGCTTGAGACTCTCCTCATGATCATTGTTGAGCGTAGGTGAACTCGTTCCGTTGAGGAAAGGAATATGGCGATCCAGTTGGTTGGATCGATCGACTCGATCAAACGACCGGACGGACGTGTGTGTACCAACTCGAATTGCGCTCGGCGGTCCCTCTCGAAGTCTCTTTCTCTTCCTCGTAGGAGGAAGGTAGTGGGTAGTCGATCCCTCTGGCCTCACCTTACGCGGTAACGTGCGACGTGTTACAGGTTGCCTAGCCTTGATTTCGTAGGCGTTCGGACCCGCACCCGCTGAATTCCCTAGCTTCGAAAAGAAATGAAAAAAAAAAAAAAAAACAAATCGTGGAGAGAAAAAAAAAAGAAAGCTTTTTTTCAAAAGTTGAGAGAGAATAAGTTGATTTTCTTAGTAAAAGCAAAAGAATTGTCGGAGATTCAAATTTCAGATGACGATGAATGATAAAAGTTGAATTAATTTCCTTCCTAGGTAGGCTAGTTGATGTAATAGTTGCTAGGTGGACTGTTGGATTTTATTTTATGCTATTTTCTTAAGCTTTAACTTTATTTCTAGTCTAGTTGTAGTTAACTTTAGTTCTTAGTTACTTCAGTTAATTTCATTTCTAATTAATTGTACAAAATTAACTTGCTGTTATTTTGTAATTTGTTCAATCCCTTGAGTACTGAATTTTATCTGCAAAATTTTTATATCAATTGCTTACTATATGGATATATAATATATAGGTAAAATATTAATACATTTTATTTGGAATATATATATATATAT